AACATCTGTCTGTGTGGTAAAGAAACAACATCTTGTGTTGACTTTTCATTCTCAAACTATCACTGAGAAAGTCGGTATAAGTTTGTTTGATTTACTCATATGTTAATCATCTCTCCATTAAAAAAATGGAGAGCTGTTCATAATCTCGAGACTTTTAAGGACCCACCTCTACGCTTTGCCTTTCGAATTAAACAGAGCTTGATATCTTAACTTTTTTTTTTGTAAATTAATGAATTATTTTCTTCATATTTTCTGTGTATTTTCTTTGTTGCTGTGCAGCACTTCGGTGCAACTTGTTTGCATTCACGTTGTGCTTGACATTGACAAAGAGAAAACAAACCAGAAGGTGATACCACAGATATGTCAAAGCATATTGCTGTCAATTTATCTCAAAATAAAATGAAAATGTTTGAGGGGCTTGCTTTTTTACTTGTACTGCACATTTTTCTCTCTTTGCGACAACCAACAAATGCGTCCGTTTTTAGTTTTCCTTCAGTGTCCTTAAAGTTCATAAGACTGCAGATAAAAATAAGAAATCATTCTGACCTCACAAGTGTTAGTATTGCCAAATATCCCCATATTATATAATTACATCCATGTAATTGAAAAAAAAAAGAAAAAAATGACAAAGTTAATAACATTGAAAACATTAACATTACTACACTAATGCTTCAGAAGTGCTAAAATGATGTAGGTCTCTGAACAGTCACAGATTTATTTCATTATTGTGTGTTTATTTTTGATTTTCAGATGAACAGCACGATTAATGGCAGCCATGGCAGAGCTAACAGGTTCCCTTCAACTTACCTTGAGTATTCTTGCAGTGTGCCTCTTGTATACTGACAGGTGGCAGCATTATTGCGGGACAAGGATCCGCCAAATAGGATGCATAAGACTCAGGTGCTGAATGCGGTCTGGTTCACTGGCTCACTTTGCGCTTATTGAGCTCATTTGTCAATACTTTGCCGGCTGCTTCGTCCACAACCGCACGTCACAGAGCTCTGCAGGATGTTCGCGCTCATGCTGCGTTGATTGGAGGTGCTGAGTGATCCATCTCCTACAGGTACACTGTTAAGATTAAACCCCAGCTGTTATGATCACTTGACTCAGCAGTGAATCACTCGATTCAGGTCTGAGGAAAATTAGCAGGTGTTGCACATCGCCGCAGCTTGAGTGAGGATGTGAAAGCAGATTGGCTGCATTCAAAATGCAAATGTTCTCCGCTGTCAATGTGTCCTAATTAACGAAGTGTCAAAAGGCGGCGGGATGTGAGAAAAACGATTATGAATTATGAGACAACACGACTTGATTTTGGTTACTTTTTCTCTCTTAGAGAGGAAGACTTCCTTTAAAAATGCAAAAGCTTTCATTCAGCTGCTGAACAAGAACACTGAGTATCTGCCAATGTAAAGTTTGCACCTCATTGAAATTCTAGGAGATTTTACTTATTGTTTTCCATTTTTTCCTGTATTGTATCAGCTCTGCTGCAGATCTGCATATAAACTCCTTCCTCAGTGCAATCACCAGTTTTCTTGTAAATCCTGTAGAATAATGGGTTTTGCAACTTAATTTTCCAATCGGAGGTCATTGCTGGTGTGTGAAGGTAACCTCCCCCTCACCATTACCCAGATGAAACATTAAAAAAATTGATGTCAAGGAAAATCATTCTGCTTACAAATAGGAACAGCATTTCATCACAGCTTTGTATTAATATGTAAAAGACTGTGTGGAACAGATTAGTTCGAATCTTTGACAAATGGCTGCATCAATCCCACCAGGACCGGCAGACTCAACGATACATTTGTCTCATTTAAGTCACTTACGGGCAAGCTTTGCTTTGACCTCTGTTTCACCAGTTAAGGTGAAATGAATCACAAGAGTTTAAGAATTCATTAGTTGGAAGACAAAGAACAAATGCAGGACGGGTGTGTGGAGGTACAATTTTGTGAAAATATATCACATCCCTGTTTCCAGTCATGCTGATGATTTGAATCCATGGATGGGAGTAAATAATCTTTTTCAAAGCATCTGTGAATACTCCCTTATGTCCAGCACTCAGTTGCATTGTTTGATATCCCGTTTACTCCTAGCTGCTCGTGCTGTGGTTCTTTGTTTCTTTACATTTCTGAACTTTATATTGGATTGGTCATTGAAGTCATCTAATTCAGTTCAATTAAATTTTATTTATATAGTGACAAATCACAACAACAGTTCCCTAAAGGCGTTTTATCTTGTAAGGTAAAAACCTTAGAATAATACAAAGGAAACAGAAAAGCCGTACAACCAGATGACCCCCTATGATCAAGCACTTTGGCGACAGTGGGAAGGAAAAACTCCGTTTTAACAGGAAGAAACATCCAACCTAACCATGCTCAGGGAAGGGCAGGCATCTGCCGCGACCGGTCGAGGGTGAGTGGATGAAGACAGCACAAAGACATGCTATGGAAGAGAGCTAGATATTAATAGTAACTAATAATTAAATGTATTTGGTTCCCATATATGAATCCACACCTCAGAGCTACTGATGAAAATGCTAACTGATGTCCAGACTTTAGAATTAATCAAAAAGAGGTATGAACACCAGTCATGTGAAAGAGGTTTTCATGGGGCTCTATGTACTCTGAAACCTGACTCTATATGTACAGTACTCCCATAGAAATTAAAAGGGTAACTAGAGGCCTCTACAAAAGTAGAAGTTTAGGCAGTTTTCTGGTCTGGAGCATGAGTGCATGTGTATTAACAGGGTGCCACCATCTTCCTAGTAGTGGATGTCCCAACAAATTTACCCCAAGGTCAAACTGTGCATGAGAAATTGTCTCAAGAGCTACATGTCAGACTCTACAGGCCTCAGTTATCATGTTAAATGTTAAAATTAATGACAGCACAATTAGAAAAACACTGAGAGCCAAATATGAGGCCGGCCAGCTAAAGCACTGCAGCAAATCTACGACAGAGTGACTGAAAAACAAAAAAAATCCAGGTGCAGACCCGATCAGTTTTAAACATTCTTATTAAATGATAGCATGCTAACACTGGGAGCATGTGTAATCACGTCATTATGTATTTTTGTCCCAGTATAATTTCCTCCTCTGTTCTTTTTGTGAGGTTAAATTTAATCGAGCAGTATCAGCGTTTTGGTTACACTACTTTTATATCCAGCTGCTCTGAATATTAAGTTCCACATGAAAAAACATAGATATTCTTTAATGACTTCCCACTTTGAGTTACAGAGCAGTGAAGATTTTTTGCGTGGTTCTTTGCTGGCAGATATTAATGACTCTTTCTAGTTGAAATCAGCTAATTGTGGTTATGAATCACCATTAGTGACCACATTGGTACTCTTGTTTCTTCCTACCACATGTAAAAATCTGGAACCTCAAAATGCTTTCCACTTCTACATCCTGACACTGTTAAAATGATTGACTGCTGTTTGCTATGAGAAACAACAGCCTGCAGGCCTCTGTGTTACATGTGGCACGCCCGCTGCCAACAGGGGTCAATTCAGACGTGATATTTCCCTTGTTCCACTGGTTCCTCATCCCACAATGGGGCCGTCAAGCTCGCCTTTTCTCTCAAGGTTAATTTCATTTGAACCACACCAACTCTTGTACTGGCTTGCTGCTTGCCTGTGTTAAGGTTGCTGTCTTTATTGATTGCTGTGAAATAAAATTATGCCTCACTGTATAGAGGAGCTGAGCCCTGCTGAACACAGTTAATGATCCTCTTATAGCACTTCATGCATTCCCTAGCTCATCTCATCTAACTGATTAGAGATAATGTATCTTATCTTGTGGCATATTTCTTTTGCTGGCTTTTCTGTAAGTCTCATTTGCATTTGATTATTAAAGTTACCTACTATTGACATAATAGTAGGTAACCGGCTCCTTCCCAGCTGAACTTGTAAAAATCATTTAAACATGAGTGCGATGATCACTATTGGGAGTAAGAGAGCTTTCATGCATACAATGGTAGACATCGTCCTTATTAAAAGAAAATATCCAAATCTCTAAATTGAAAGAAGAAGAGAACAAAGGATTGAGGAATGAAAGTCGGTAGAAGCAAGTCAGAATACCTGTTTATGGGAATGGGAAAGTGACAGGTGTAACAGTGAAGATGGAATGAATAGAAATAGTACAGGTGGAAGAGTTTAAGCACCTGGGTCGACTATCTGCAGAAATGGGCACTGCAGGGGAGAGGTGAAGAAGCGAGTGCCAGGAGTGATTTGTGACAGGGTGGCAGCAAGAGTGGAAGGGAAGGTCTACAACAGGGGTGGGCAATTCCAGGCCTCGAGGGCTGGTGTCCTGCAGGTTTTAGATCTCACCTTGGGTCAACACACCTGAATCACATGAGTAGTTCGTTACCAGGCCTCTGGAGAACTGCAGGAGCTAATTTAGCCATTTAAATCAGCTGTGTTGGTTCAAGGACACGTCTAAAACCTGCAGGGACACCGGCCCTCGAGGCCTGGAGTTGCCCACCCCTGGTCTACAAGATGCTAGTGAGACCTGATGTATGGTCTGGAGATGGTGGCACTGAGAAAAATACAGGAGGCGGAGCTGGAGGAGGCGGAGCTTAAGAGGGTCAGATTTTCATTTGGGAGTTACCAGGATGGACAAGATTAGAAATGAGCAGTTTGGAGACAAAGTTAGAGAGACAAGTTTGACATGGTGCAGAGGAGGGATAGGGGATACACTGTACAAAGGATGTTATATATGGAGCCACCAGGCAGGAGGAAAAGAGGGAAACCACACAAAAGATGAAGTATTGTCACAATTATGCAAGATGCAGTCACTTACGTACAGAGTAAAGATCATTTCTGAATCTAATTTCAATCCAAATTATTTTTAAAAAAAAATAGAGGCAATAAAATGTGGGCTTAGGAGACTTTGGTTATTTCTGTCCCCTTGTCATGACATGTGTCCATGTTAAACACATGAGCAGGAACAGTGACCTTGTTGAGTAACAGCAATAAAACCCATTTATTACTCTTTACAGCATGAATGCTGAGCACACGTACGGTATCAATCCAGGAGCCGAGTAAGCTGTACACAGTGAGGAAAAGCCGCTCTACACCAGGAATTCTTCCTCATGTCCTGACAGAAAAATGCTTCATTTAGAGGTGAAAATTAGGTATTTTAGTTGAAGGGCAAACAATAAGCTGCTGATGGCGTCACCGCTTGGCTTGGTGTGGCTGGTGTTAGCCTTCACTTTGGTATTCAAGCCAGTGGCTGCCAACACCTGTTCGAACCAGGATTTTTCCTGCTCTCACGGATTATGCGTGTCTGAGGACTGGGTGTGTGACTTCACCGACGATTGTGGAGACAGCAGCGATGAAAACAATTGTGAGTAAAATGTGAAAATGGACACACAGTATAGAAAAATCCGAGAGTAAAAATCAATTTTTATCCACGATCTGGTTTCAGTTCATAGAGTTTGTAAATTTGCTTGTGAATCAAACATTTTCTCTTTATATTAAATGCAGTGGAGAACAACTTATCCTCATCCTTTTTCATCTTTGAGAGCGAACTTATCACACATTTACTTTTCTTTTCTCTCCCTGAGAACTCCTGTCGCTTTAAGCTACACAAAGTGTGTAACAAAATGCACCGAAACAGAAACAGTTTGTGTGTTTACTGATATTTGTTGAGCAGTTCGAAGCATTGTGTTTGAAATGACCTGAAAATATTACTCCTTTTATGCTCACTCCTCTTCAGTATGGCTAAGCTAGATGCTGAAGTACTGCAACCACAACACATTAACATGTGCACCTTGAATGGTGGATTCACCAATAGGATTGCCTTTTATGTTATTGATCCTTCCATTTAGCTTCACATCAGTTTGATGTCTGTTGTCTGGGAGGTGCACAGTGATGTGAAGTAATCAACAATGCCCCTCAGATGTCTTAAGCCTAAAGTAACAAACCTATTTTAAAGATGTTAGGAGTAGAAAGTACAGTTATTTGGACATTGCACAAAAGACGTAGAGAAGAGGCGGAGTGGGTGGAGACTAGTGTCTGGGGTGATTTGTGATTGAAAGATAGCAGCAAGAGTGGAAGGAAAGGTTAGCGGCAGTGAGACCTGATGTGACGTGTGGTTTGGAGGGCTGACAAAAAGACAGGAGGCTCAGCTGAAGATTTTAAGATTCTGATTTAGAGTGAGAGCAGACGAGATTAGATATGAGTACATCAGAGCGACAGATCAGGTCGAGCAGTTTGGAGGCAAGGTTAGAGAAGCAAGGCTGGTTTGAGATGGTGTAGACATGTGCTGATATGTTGACGATGAAGCTGACAGGCAGGAGGAGAAGAGGAAGACCACAGAGAGGATTCACAAATGTAATTAAGGAGGACATGGAGGCAAAGATATTTGTAATAAATATATGCACTTCATTACTTTCCACCTCTATGTGTCATCATGACGTGTCACTCTGAACTATCAGGCTTATATACAACTGAACAAAATAATGGGACTAAAAGAATAAACAACTGTCTTAAAGTGCATTTTCTAAAATAATATTTTTTCTTCCTTAACCATTAAGAACTATTATCTTTGGTCATGTATTGTTCATTTATTGTGTACTGTAGTTACAAAACTTTTTTTTGATCATTAATCTTACTAGCACTTTAGGAGTAAGCCTTGTTCTAAAAATCTGTAGCTTTAGGGCTGGTCTCTAAAATCCAGATCAGTAGAATAAAACAAATAGAAGTTTAATCTAATCGAAAGCTTTACTGAGTACATTTTTATGATGGATATAAAATTTTGTCAACAAGGATCTATAAATGGGCGGTGATTGTTGTATGGTTGCTAATCTTGAAAATACGCCACGGCACTTCTGAATTATAAACTGCAGTTTACACTTAAATCTTTAATGACGTGAACTACATCAGAGGCTTAACAACAAAATAGCAGAAGTGAAATATATGTGTTACCATTTTCTGCTGCAGGTTCAATGTATGAGAGGTGTGACTTTGACGAGGGTTTCTGTGACCTGATCCAAAGCTCAGAAATGAGGGCTCAGTGGTCCAGAACAACTGAGGTCGCTGGACTCAAACATGACCACACAAACAACAAATCAGGTTGGAGCAGCTGTCATTTCCAAATGATAACAACACCTATTATGAAAGTTTTCCATTAAATTTTCCTCCTCTCTCCCGTCAGCACATTTTCTGTCCCTGTTACCCGTCAGAGGAAACAAAACCACAGCAGACCTGAAAAGTCCAGTCCTCCCACCCAGCCACACCTGCCAGGTAACAGAATCTACAGTAAACCACAGCCTCCACCAATGTGACATCACCGGATCACCTTCTTTTCATTTCTGCTTGTCAGATGAGTTTCTATTATTATTTTGGAGCAACTCACGGAGATCTTCAGGTCCTGGTTCAAACTCATCCAGCAGGTCGGAGCACAGCAGTGTGGAAACCCTCAACTCAACTACAGAAGGATACGTGGCTGCGGGAAATCCTTCGCTTTTCCAGGAATGACAGTTTTCAGGTCTGTAACAGTGTAATTACTGTCTAATACTAACAGCGTGTCCCATATCAGATCATGGTGGCACAAATTTCCTGTGAGCTGCACTTTGACTGATGAATGAAAACATATAACATATAATTTATTGTCTTTTTAACTTGACAATCTACCTACTGTCTTTAATTTAAACAATATAATCTTAAAGCTGCTCTTATCATTGTTTCCTTAAATAACATTTAAGAGAATCATCAGATGATTGCATTTTCCCTCAACTTTGTGCATCCCCTTGCTTTGGCTTCACAGCCAAACATCTTTTGCTTCCTTGATTCACTATCTTTTTTAATCTGAGTCATTTTTCAGCCACAGCAGACAGGTGTTTTTAAAAACGACCCCAGCAGCACACAAACAAAATTAGCAACATAAGGGATGGTGCATTTAGCGGTTAAGGAGTCGAACATTTACACCAGAGCTCGGGATGTTCTTGTGGAAAGCACACCTTTTTGATTGTGAGCGCTGATGCCATCAAGTTCCCATTAAGCCCTGCAACTAGACCTAATTTGATAAAGTGAAGCATTCTGCCTGGAAACATATAAACTAAAATAATTTGTGTCTAGCAGCCATATTGTGGCCTGGGGCCCCTCCAACAGAGAAAGCCAGATAATTAGCTAATCGCTCAGGACCTAAATGAGCTCTCAGGCTTAGGCTCTTTCTGGCTTTTGCCGGTGCTGCCTCATCAGGAGCTGGTGGAGAAAACATCTGAACTATATGGAGGTCATCCCAATAAATGGTCAAAAGTCATGCTTGTCATGACGTTGGGCCTACATCATAACCTCTTGATGTTTTACTATAATCTGGTTCAAAGGCTTTCACAGGTTTAGTAGGTGTTATGGTATACAGTGTTAATAATGCAGTGTAGGGTTTATTGTAACTAGCGAAGTCGTCACAGAAGAAGTAAGCGTCACGACAGGAGCTTTTTATATCCACTGCGAGGGTAGTGACCTACTCTTAAGAGGCCATCTGGAGTCCTGTGAAGCCTGCTGTTGTGTCCTTCCAGTGTCCTGAGACAATGTCAGTGTGTCACCGTCCCCTCTTCTCTGCCTTCACCATCTGTCACCCAGGAGTGCCCGCTCAGTTTTGTGATGTAGCCGACCAGTAGCAGCGGGAGTAAAGAGAGGCCACCTCTCTGCTAACATTCACTTTCCCCTCCATTAATCCACTTCCTGTTTCCAAGGTAGTTTGGTTAATTGGATTTTCATTTGCCGTGATTTCAGTTTCAGTCAGTTTGCTTTATGGGCTGCACCTTGAGGTTAGATTTGCTCTTTAATTGTGTAGCGGAAGAACTTTTCATTTGGTCAGCTTGAATCTTGTAAGATCAACAAAAAATATATCACCCATATAAAAATTTTTTTCCAGAAGCTGGAGGATGAAAATCTAATCTGCGATATGATTAAGGGTGTTTTGTTGTGCTGCTTCTACTCACAATAACGACATGACTCTGTGGATAAAAATACCCAAGATTTTAAGAAAGCGGGGGCACACTGTCTGGATCAGATAAACACTCCGGCTCAGCTGTGAAATCCTAAATAAACAGTTATGTAAACTCATTGCTGAAGATTATATTACCCTTGTGACCTCAATTTTCACTTGTGGAGGTAAAAGAAAAACCATCTGAGATGTGTGACTGATGGAAATTCTACTTTTCTGAGCAGTCTTGATGACGCAATCTACTGTTTGCTGAGATCAGTCATAAATGACAGGCTGTAAAACTGCACCGGTGCAGATAAACGCTGCTCTGTGGACTTTGATCAGCGTGTCTATGATATTATTCTGATAGCACTCTGACTAAGGCTTCATTTACACTGCAAATCTGTGAGCTTGATTCTGATCATTTGATCAGATCTAATTTATTTGTAATAGTTGTAGTTTTGATATATATTTTTACTTTATTAGATTTCAGTGTGAACCAGTTAAGGTCCTAAATTGACCAAAACAACAACACATTACTGTTTTAATGTGTTGTAATGTTCAGTAGGGTGCACAGAGCATTTCTTCCTATTCATCTAGGAAAAGGGATAATAGATGTAGTTATTTAGTCAAATATATGTAAACAGACATGGATTTACAATATATATGGCAAAAACCAGACTTTTTTGCAATACTAATGAGCTGAAAAGTCAATATTTAGCGTGACCACCTTTATTTTTCAGTACAGCGTGAACTCTTAGGCAGCTTTCTTGTAATTTCTTTAAGTCTTCAGGAATAGTTCTCCAGGCTTCTTGAATGACTTTTAAAGCTGTTCTTTGAATGTTTCTGCCTTTTGTTCTGTTCTCTGTCAAGATGATTCCACACTGCTTTAATAATATTGTGGTCCGAGCTCTGGGGAGGCTTATCCATGACTGATACTGCTCCTCTGTGCTTTTTTCTATCCAAATATGCATCAGCAGGAGTGTTCTGGGTCATCGTCAGGCTGAAAAATGAACCTGTTGTCAATCAGACTCTTTCCAGATGAATTGTTAACAATTCCATCAAACTGGACATGATCCCGACACCAATGGCTGAAATGCAGCGCCAAACCATGACCGAGCCTCCACTGTGTCTAAAAGGCTGTGGACACTCACTGTTGTATCTCTTTCCTGACCTCCTCTGTACACATTGACAACAATCTGAGCCAAAATTCTGGATTCATTATTTCATGCTGTTCACTTTTATATCAAGCCTTGTGTAATTTGGCTGACATTAGCCTTTTCCCCCTGTCTCCCATCCTTAAGAAGGGCTTCTTCAAACCTCCCGTCCACTGAGACCATTTCTGATGAGACTTCAGTGAACAGTAGACGGATTTATTGAAGGGACAGGTGTCTCTTTCAGGTCATGTGTCATGTCTTTGCTAGATTTCTTTTTTCTTCTTCCTTTTTTTCTTCATCTATCCACCTATTTTTGTTGTTGCTTCTTTTTTGTATTTTATTCCCATACTTGTTACAACCTGTTGTAATAAATTTAGAAACAAGTATTTAAACAGAAATCAGGAATAATCAGTGAGAACAAATATGAAAACTGAATGGGTATATGAATATTAACAGTAATAACGATTACGATTTTTAAGACATTAATAATATTATCCTTACTCAAATTCTAAATAATTTAATAGGAACTGAATGGATCCTGACATTTTTAAGAAAGACAGGCACTACAAAACCCACAAACGTTAGGATCAGCTAATATAACAGCATTCTGCAAAAACAAGGTTTAATAAAGCTTCACGGTCCAACATGCTCATGTAGGCTCTGTTTGTGTAGCAGAGCTGCAGCAGCCTGTTCCATTGATAAGAAGCCCATAAAGTGTTATTTATAAGTTAATATTCAGTAGAAGCCAATACATTTGTGAGAGGATTAGAAAGAGGGTGAGGATTAAAAGAGCTAACGGTTGAATTAGGCTTTTTGAAGCACAAACATTCTGTATGTATGCCGATACAGAGCTGGAATTATGAGTGGTGGGACTGTGACAATAACTATTTAATTGAAAAAGACTTTATCCCAAATATTAGAATGCTAAGGGACATTTTTATATCTGTCGATGACTCTAAACCACAGGTGTCGAACTCCAGGCCTCAAGGGCCGGTGTCCTGCAGGTTTTAGATGTGTCCTTGATCCAACACAGCTGATTTAAATGGCTAAATGACCTCCTCAACATGTCTTGAAGTTCTCCAGAAGCCTGGTAATGAGCTAATCATTTGATTTAGGTGTGTTGACCCAGGGCGAGATCTAAAGCCTGCAGGGCACCGGCCCTCGAGGCCTGGAGTTCAACACCCCTGCTCTAAACAAAGCTCCTTTCACATTGAATAAATAAATGAGAACTGTATCTGGTTATCTGTCATTTAAGAAATAAAATAAAATACAAATGAAGTCACATATGATATAAAATCACTGCCCGTTTCATTAGGTACACTATGAATGTCGATCTGTGGGATCAGCACTCTTGTACAGGAAGTCTGGAGCAGCTCTCTATTTAAAAAGTCCTAATCTCTGATACTACACGTCTTCCCCAGCAGGCAGTGCAGAGCTTAGATGGAGCCAGTGACTCAGGAGACTCAATGCATTCAAGCTGCCTCTCTCCTCCATGTGTCTACCCCACATATCTCCATGGTCCCCTTGTCCCTGAGTAGCCTAGGGAGTCAAAATAAATTCTATGGCCACACCTGTTAATGGCAGCTCCCCTCTAGATCAGCGCAGTGACTTGGAAAACTAAACTCCAGGAGTCTGTTGCATGAGGCTGGAGTGAGCTGTAATATATGCATTATACTAATGCAGATTAATACTCAGGTTTTTACCTTTACTGTTTCACAAAGGGTTAAAAAGCAAGGAGCAAAGCAAAAGCAGAATTAAAAAAAGAATAAAATCACTTGAATTATACTTGTTTAATTAACCTATTCTGAGCTAATGCTGACTTTGTTCTCATCTTTGATAAACGAGTTGAAAAGAGAATGACTGCACCTCGACCACGATGCACGCATCTCTGATCCGTGTTGATACTAATAGTCCAACAGGACAGCAGCAGCCCTTGGAAATTCAATCCCCCAGGAATACAGTGGAAATCCAAACTCTCTTGAATGTATAATCTAAGATAGTAAAACTGAGCAGAGAAAAAAACAAAAAATACAAAAATAATTTGCACGTTCACAGTTTGGGCAGCAGTTCATCGCTCTAGAGTCTCTGCTGGAATTTCTTAGATCCAATCTTCTGAACTGCTCATCTCACAGAAGACAAAGGGAAGAACCATTTATTTCTGCACAACACTTTAGTACCTGGTCATCCTTTCTCCCCCTTCTCCTTCTAGTCATTACATCTTCTGAGATTACATCTGACCCCACACATGAAGACATCCAGTTACCTTT